ATGTAAAGATTTATGTCATATCTCTTTAGATAAATAATCAAATGTAGATGCAGTTAGGTTTATAGAACTTCTAACATATTCTAATAAATCATTATGAGATAGGTGTGTAATTCACAATAAATTGTCAGTTATTGCACCACTCTTTACCTTTATGTCATATTAAAAGCATGTTAATTGAAAAGAATATAAATTGAAAAAGAACTTTTATAATATAAAATCCATGATGAAACCTTTTAGTATAGGATATTAAAAAACTAATATGTAACCAAACTTTTGCACATTTTACTATGGTGAATATATAAGTTTTATCAAGTGTAAAAGATATTAGCATGTTTGATATAAACCCAACAATAATAGAGGAAGGACATTTGTCACATACAAAAAACTATAAATTAGGAAAGGGTGATAAATTATGTCATATGTTTTGGTAGGTTGGAAATATATGGGTTAAATTTATATAATTAGGGGTAAATTTGGGGTCTAAATCAAGAAATTTAGATATGCACAACGATATAGAAGTTTATTATATTGAAATTAAAAATTAACTTGTGTTATATTTTAAAGATACGAAGAAAAAATTTAAGGAGAGCTATTGCTACTACTAGTTTAACCAAGTTTAACCAATAGTAGTGTTAGGAATGTCAGTGATCATGTTATTAATTTAGATATTGATCATGAAGCGATAGTTAATACACACTATAAAGATTAAGGCTCATCCCTTTTAGGTAATAGAGGTGGGATCCCTTTTTCAAGCTATTCATATTTTAGTAAAATTACTGTAGAAAAGAAGACCAATCATTTAATATAAGTTATATTGTTCAAGTTATTTATTTAGATTAGATTATTATAAGATTTATATTAAATGAAACTAACTGACCTTATTTGAATTTGTTTTGCAAGTTTACAAATATTAAAGTTGGGCATTTTATTTTGAGGAACCATTGTTTTAGTGGATTTAACTTTAAAAATATCTTCAATGGATGACTAGAATAGATGCTTGGTAGAATATATATATTCTATGTCATGTATGAAATTATGATATTGTTATGGAATTATTATTATAAATGCTTAAAGACTATATTGTGTAATTTTTAAGTGGATAAAATTAATTGACAGATACTATATAGGGCTACCTTTGTTGTAATGGATGGTTGTGTTATGTGGTATTGATTGCATGCAAAAGTTAGCAAGATAAAATTTTAGGTAAAGCCTATATATGATAAACTTATTTAAGTTAGTAAGAAGATTTGCTAGAATTTCATTAAAAATGATAAACTTATTTAAGTTAAATTTCATATTCATGTTTATGAACTTATGTTTGAAAATAATTTTGAGTGTTATTATGTATGAGAAAGGTCTTAATAATTATGTACAAATTGACAAGCATACAAAATTGTATTACAAAATTGACAAGCATACAAAAATACCTTTGTTGTATGATTTGCATAAATATGCAAAACTCTGAGCCAACACTGATGGTATCGAAGCATGGAAAACTATAAATCAAGTCATGCCACTAAGGATAACTAGGTGAAGTTTCAAGACTTTTTTGCATCAAAAGAATTTAAAAAGTGATCACCAACCAGTTAGCAGACTTAAAACAAAGAAATATATAGTTCAATGAGCAAACATGCCAGTGAATTGCTTTGATTTGTCAACCATGTAAATCTTCTAGTAAAACTTTTAAATTATTTTTTCTTTAATTTTAATTTACTTCTTTTTTGTTAAAATTTTTACAACTTTTTTTTGTAGGAAAAAATCTTGGGTGTGAGTCTACTTTGATATAGTTATATGAGAAAACTCATATAAGAAAGGTGGATAAGGGGTGTTATAATCTATTTTTGAGTTATTCTTTAAATTCACCTTTTTATCAAAATAAAGATAAAAAATAAAAATAAAAATAGCAAAAAGACTGATATTTTTGCAAAAGCAAGTTGAGAGGATTTCATATATAGAAAAAATCAAGTTGTAATTTTGGATGAAATCGAGAGTCAAAGTGTAATCTATTTTACCCAAAACCAGAGAAACAATGCAGATTTAAGGTCATATTAAATTATTATTGGATAAACTTGTATAATAATTAAGCCTAGAGACATAATTAAATTTTCAATAGGTTAATTTGATTTAATCATAAGCCAAATTAAAGTTTAATAATATTTGAAAATTAATTTGGGTATAATTAAAAATTTTAATTAGGTGCAAAGATTATAGTATACTTTAAATGAGTCAAAATAATTTTATTAGGAGCTTAACTGGTGAAAAATTAAGTTTGAAAATGATCATTTGATGGTCAAATTGATAAATCCAAAATCATTAACCAAAATAAAAAAGCTTTGAAATTCAGGGTTGGAACTGAAGATTAAGAAAAGAAAATTTGAAATTTTAAAGCCAATCAAGGGGTGTCATTAAGAAAAATCAGAAATTAAAGGACTAAATGAACTTTGCTAAAATGACGTCATTTTGGGGTTGACTATTCATCTTCTTCTTTATATTTTCATCGGAAAAGCTACTCAGGGGCTGAGTGACAAAACTTATATGAAAATGATCACCTAATATTTAACTTCACCCTAGTATGATCCATTTTGGTCGATTGACGCCACAATGGTTGTGGCACCACCCAAAAATTGGTCAACTCAACCAACCCTTTTCCTCCAACAAATCTAATAGCCTGTGATGACTACTTTAATTCAATAGTTGGGATTCTTTCTTGTCAAATCAAGGGTCAAGATTTGACATTAGTAAAGATGAAATATCCCTCTTCCATTCTCTATAAACAGGGATGGATTTCATGAGTTGGGAAAGGAGCAAATTGCTTCCAAAATCGACAAAAAATCAACCTTCCCTATATTTTTGCTATAAGCATGATCTTCTTTCTTTGCCCTCTCTTCCATTCCCTTTTACCGGCTTTTCCACCACCATCTCTACCAAAAACAAATGGATAGCCACCTTTCCTAAGGAATAACCACCACATACAAATGGCTGGGCACCTCTCATCAAGAGTAGCCATCATAAGTTTCACTCTCTCCTTTGTAACTCTTCCTCCTACAGCTGATACTGACCACCACACCTTCCATCAACACCTCTTGAGCCATCGGTCGGACCTCCTCATCATGACCACGACCTTAACACGAGGCAACTTTTTTCTCTTTTCTTCTTCTTTTTTTCTTCTTCATTCCCGCTACATATAGAATTTATTTCTGTATGCAGCGGCTAATTAAGTAATGTGGTCACTAGGTTAGGCCAACAATGATGTGGCCTATGAATTGGACTCATGTCAACCTAGCTCAGATAGCTAGGCTGGGTCTTGCCCGACCTAAAAAAAAAGAGGGCCATATATGTTGGGCTGCCAGTTGATCCAACCAGACTTGGCTAGGTCGGGCTCAACCTATATATTTAATTATAATATAATATAATAATATATTAGTATATATTATGTTTAAAAAATAAATTACAAAAGTACTTTAAAAAATTTGTTAATTTCTTACATGTTTTTTCAACAATTTTGTAAAACTATATATTTTCACTGTAAAATACAGATTCGACATGAAAATACTTGATTTTCTCCGAATTTTTTTTTAATTTTTTTTTAAATTTCCAAAAAAATCTCAAGATTTTCAAATTAATTTCCTCTTAAAAAAAAGCATTATATTTAGTTTTTGCTGATAGAATAGGTGATACAATACTTCATTGGTAATTTATTTATTGATGAAATGATTGATTCAAGCTGGTCAATGCATATTTTTTTTGGCACCATTATTCTGCCAGCATTACAAGCACGTAGACTTTTCTTTGGTGGCAGAGAAGATCAAGTGAATGCTACTATGGTTGTATGTAGACTTTTCTTTCCTATTTGTTAATGTATTCAAGCATCAATGGTTCGAGCTAAAAAACTGTGGATCGTATGCTGTGGTTTCTATGTCCCCTGAATTTTCAAGGGACGCGCTATTTTCAAAGAAGTCAAAGGTTTTTAGATTTTGATGCAGAGGAAAAAGTCGAAAGATTGCTACACTGAATTCTGAATACAAGCCAAGAAAATTTAATGCTAAGTATTTTTACTGCAAAGTATAGAAAATATTTTTAAAAAAAAAAAACGACTTCCATGAGACAATAAGGGTTCAAAGTAGAAAATGATTGCATATTACGCACAAAAATAAGCTTGAGCTATTGTAAATCAAAGAAACAATGGCTACACTATTAGGCTTCGTTGAGAATTCAAAACCATCAATTAATATTAATTTCCTCAATATAACTTAAACAAGCACTAAACCTTTATTTAAAAGGAAAAAAAATCAACAAGAGAAGAATATACAATTGACATTGTATCACATAGATCTTGGATCAAGATTTACACACGCTTTTTTTTTTAAAAAAAAAAGGATTTTACGTTTTTTCTAGAGGGGAGTAATTTATTTTTCAAATACGTACAGGAGATGTCGTGGCATTACATGATCGTTCAGTCAGAGAAAGATAGTAACGTAACGAAGCAGAAGATGGCTTAGAAAATAGCAGGTAAATGGCTACTGGAAGCTGGCCCGAAACAATCAAGAAAGTTCTGAAAAGAATCCTTCTTTAAGCTATGTCTCTTGAGGAACAGTCGCCTGATTAGTGGTTAATAAATGCCGTGTACTTGCATCCTAATCACCTGGATATATCTTTAGACCGCTCAGGCTCTTCAGGCTATTATGGTATAAATAGCCTCTTTCTTAGAAACTCACCTGCCTTTTAAAATTAGAATGTCAAGAGCTTCTTGATAGCGCCTACCATGGCACGTTTATGTATTGTGATAATGTCCTATAAAAATAAAAATGCTGTCGATCTCACAAGGTAGTTGATGAGGTTCATCCTGATGAAAAATCACTATTTTAGCACAGGGTCAAATTCTCAGAGTAAAACGTAACCCCTGCTTATGCTACAGATGGAAATTTACAGAAAACATAAAAAATTCTGACTTTTAATTGCTAAACTTGGTTTCTATTTGAAAAACAATCTCATGAATGGAATTAAGTAAAAGGACAGGAAGAGAAATATTCCTGTTCATGACATCCTTTTTCTCAAACACTTGGCCATTTGTAAGTCTTCCATTCTCATCAATAACAAGTATGGGATATGGCAACTGTGAAGTTGCAGTATCTCTTCTTCTGTTTCTATCATGTTCCTGTTCATTTTATGGTGATGCAGGAGATACCATCACTCCTTCTCAACCCATCAAAGATCCAGAAGCTATAGTCTCTGCCGGCAATAAGTTCGAACTAGGATTTTTCAGCCCAGTTAATTCAACATATCGATATATCGGAATATGGTATAGTAATATATCAGCAGAAACTCAAGTACTATGGGTGGCCAACAGAAACAACCCAATCAACGATTCTTCTGGGATGATGACAATATCTGAAGATGGAAATCTTGTGGTTTTGAATGGTCAGGGAGGGGTTCTGTGGTCATCAGATGTTTCAAATGGGTTCAATCAATCAACTGCACAGCTTACTGATGATGGAAACCTTGTCTTGAAAGCTGGACAGAGTGGAAACCTTATATGGCAAAGTTTCCTGCATCCTACGGATACTTGCTCACCAAAGATGAGACTTAGTGCTAACGCAAGAACAGGGAACAAGACACTGCTAACGTCCTGGAGAAGCTCATCTGATCCTTCTGTTGGAAACTTCTCTGCTGGTATCAATCCATTAGGAATTCCTGAGTTCTTCATCTGGTACAATGGTCATCCATTTTGGCGTAGCGGTCCATGGGGTGGCCAGAAGTTTATTGGAATACCAGGAATGTCTACTTCTGTCTATCTAAGTGGAGTTACTCTACAAAATGAAGGAGATGGCACTTTCACTCTGAGTTCAACTGAAGACCCAGCTTACCGTTTAATATATGTTTTGACTTCTCATGGAAGGCTTACAGAACAATACTGGGATTATGAGAAGGGAGGTTGGGAGTATACCTGGGAAGCTCCATCAACAGAGTGTGATATTTATGGCAAGTGCGGACCATTTGGAAGCTGCGATGCACAGAATTCACCTATCTGCACATGTTTAAAAGGGTTTGTAGCAAAAAATCAAGATGAATGGAACAAAGGAATCTGGAATAGCGGTTGTGTTAGGATGGCATCGTTGCAGTGTGATAGAATACAGAATGGTAGTGAAGTGGGAAAAGAAGATGGGTTTAAGAAGCTGGAGATAATGAAGGTGCCAACCTTTGCCGATTACTGGCCATATCCGTCCTCCGAACAAGAATGCAAAGATGAGTGCTTGAAGAATTGTTCCTGTGTCGCTTATTCATATTATAGCGGTTTTGGCTGTATGGCATGGACAGGAAGCTTGATTGATATACAGATGTTCTCTGAAGGAGGGACAGATCTTAACATTAGACTGGCGTATACAGAACTTGGTAATAGTTAGAATATTTTCTCATTTTCATTCACCAGTGTTTCGTTTTTCAGGTGTGCATACAAAAATTTCTGTATTTGTATGAGGAAACATTTAAGTTTTTTTCATATTTCCATTACATTTTTGCAAAATAACCATCAGTGCAATTTTTTGGTTGCAGATAGCAAGAGAAACATGAAAATAATCATCAGTTTATCAGTGATTGTGGGAGCCATAGCCTTCTTCATCTGTGTGTTTTTTTCTTTGAAATGGATGGCTACACATAGAGGTAAATGCTACGTCTTATTAGCTTACTGGACTTCTAAACTTTACAATTTTTACAAGTAAAGAAAAACACAATTCACAAATAATAATGATACTTCCACTTGAATTCAGAAAGGAAGTTCATAAGTGAGGAGACCTTATCGTTCAAAACGAGAGAAGCACAAGAAACAGTTTTTGATGGAAACTTGCCCGAAAACGTCAAGGAAGTTAAACTTAAACAGTTTTTGATGGAAACTTGCCAGAAAACGTCAGGGAAGTTAAACTGGAACCACTCTTCAAATTACAAATTCTTGAAACTGCTACAAACAACTTTGACATATCCAAGAAGCTTGGGCAGGGCGGCTTTGGTGCAGTATACAGGGTAATTCTTCTGGAAATAAAGGTGCTTTATAGTTAGTTAGAGCAAATAGGTATTGATCGGTTTGATGTGACATGTTAGGGAAAATTGCCAGATGGGCAGGAAATAGCTGTGAAAAGACTTTCTAGAACATCTGGTCAAGGGCTGGAGGAGTTTATGAATGAAGTCGCGGTGATTTCTAAACTCCAACACAGGAATCTTGTGAGACTTCTTGGTTGCTGTGTTGAAGGAGAAGAGATGATGTTGGTTTATGAGTACCTGCCGAATAAAAGCTTGGATGCATTTCTCTTTGGTTAGAGCAACTGCCCTCTTTTAATTAGCTTCTGCTTTTCTCGACTCATTTTCATTCGCCCTTGTTTTCTCATAATTTTTTCTGCATACAATTTGCTTAGATTCACTCATGAAAGGACAACTACATCGGGAAAGACGCTTCGACATTATCAACGGAATTTGTCGAGGTCTTCTTTACCTTCACAGAGATTCTAGACTAAAAATTATTCATAGAGATCTGAAGCCAAGTAACATCTTATTGGACCATGAGCTGAATCCCAAAATTTCAGACTTCGGAATGGCCAGGATTTTTTGTGGCAATGAAGATCAAGTGAATACTACCAGGGTGGTTGGAACCTAGTAAGTAAATACATACATACATACATACATACATACATACATACATACATATATATATATATATATTTCATTTTCACTCCTATTACAGTTTTGCTATTTTGAGCTCAGAAATCTGTGATCCTCATGCAGTGGCTATATGTCCCCTGAATATTTAATGAAAGGAAGATTTTCAGAGAAATCAGATGTGTTTAGCTTTGGAGTGTTGTTGCTGGAGATCGTAAGCGGAAGAAAGAACTCTAGTTTTTATGACAATGAGCATTCTTTGAGTCTTATAGGATTTGTATGTCTGTCCGCCTCCCTGCCTGAGATATATCTGCGAAGCTCCTTTCAATTTCTGATACTATTAAACTTGCAAACTCTTACTAGGATGGATTTTTATATTTTCAGGCTTGGAAACTGTGGAATGAAGGTGACATTGCAGCTTTGGTCGACCCTGCAATATCAGATCCATGTTTTCAGGTGGAGATATTCCGATGCATACATATTGGTCTGTTGTGTGTGCAAGAATTGGCGAAAGACAGACCGGCAGTGTCTACAATCACTTCCACGCTAAATAGTGAAATTGTGGATCTTCCTCCTCCAAAGAAACCAGCATTTGTTGAAAGGCAGAGTTCCGTGGATACAGAGTCCATTACACAGAACCAAAAGATAAATTCCATTAACAATGTGACGATTTCTGATCTTAACGGCCGATAGAGTTCAGATCAAGTTTACTTTTCTATTAGATATTAATATAGTTTATCATTGTAGAACATCGCATTGCTAAAGACAATGTAATCATCATGAAGCACAAAGATTTCTGACTTTGAAATACTGAACAGTTGTTTTAAAAACAATTTATCAGCTCTTGTTTTTTTTTAAAAAAAATAATATAAGTCAGTTTATCAACAATATAAACAGTTGATATGTTATTTTTATAATGGTTATATAATTATTGAATTTTAAAATATATGAAATAAAGTTTTCTTTACATTTTAGATTTGTAGCCTTAAAGTTTGAGAAATCTTATTTGATTTAATTATTGATAGCGGTAGTTAATAGAATATTATAAGTAAATTTATTTTTTTAAATTTAAACTTACCATTAGAACCATATCTTGAATTACATAAAATTAAGTGAATTAAAACAATAAAATAAATGAGATAATTCAATGTAATTATATAAAGTTTACTATTGTGTATTTGTGATATAGATGCTAAACTATTATGTGATTGAAAGGAAAACCTATAATCAATTTAGAACATGAGATCCAAGGAGATATGTTGGAGACTGGATGGATATATCCTATAATAGATGATTAGCATCATATAAACTTAAAGTCTTCAAATCTCATAAATGGGTTTTAAAAAACGATAAAATATTTATTTTTATTTATTATTTTGTGATTTTTTAATTATTAATTTGATATAGAATGTTGAGTTATAAAAGGTAAAATACTTATTCTAATAGAACAATATTATTCTATATGTAAATAGTTGAATATAATATTTATTTATTACTAGCATGTGTGATAGACCATCATGCATATTTATTATAATGTCATATCTAGTAGAGGTTCTTTTGCTTGGACGTGCAGTGCAAACACTTTTTTTTTCCTCTTTTATTTTTATATTTTATTTTTTAACTTTTAGTACACTAATAGAGTAACATAATTTAAACTATGTTTATATATGTTATTGGTATGCTTAGTTATACCCTTATTATTTACTGACCTTATTCTAACCTAATTTTTCACCCCTTATTTTTGTATATATTACAAAAAAAAACACACACAAAAAATGTTTTTTTCAGTAAATTTAGTCATTTGATTATTTTTATTAAATTTTTATGTATTAAAAAACCATGAAAATCATTAGAAAAATAAAAAAATAAAAAAATAAAGTTGAGAATGAAATTGAACAAATAATCGAGAATCAAAAACAAAAATTGAGTTTGAGAATTTCTTAGGTGGTTTCAATTGAAGATGAAATTGAAAAAATAACTTAAATTGATTTAATTTGAATAAGATTGAAAGAAATTGGAAGTGCAATGATGAGTTTAAAATAAATGATTAAGTTAGGAATCAATTAAGGGCTTAATTGAATAAAAAATTAAAATTAAAAGTTAAATTTGTTAAAATTGTATAATTATAGGGACATGAATTTGCAACAAGAAGTTAAATTTTGGAGGTCCAAATATTCAATTAGGAACAAAATTGAAAAGAAAAATATAATTCTTTTGAAATTAGAGGAATTAAAAAAAACAAAGATGAAAATTTTTTTTAAAAGAAGAAAAAGAAGAAGAAGAAGAAGCTACATTGAAAAAGATCAATTTAAGGATTAATTTGAAGAAACCAGAGATTGAAAGCCCTTAAAAGTCAATAACTGTTATGAAAAGGAGAAAATATTCGGGAGACCGATTGAACTTCATTTCAGTACTTTTTGTTTACAATTAGTTCAATCCAGCCCAATTTAGTCCAATAATTTTATCAAATTAATTCGATTTAGTCCCCAATTAATTCATGAGGCAACCCATCCACTTCAACCTTCCCCTCATAAACCCTCATCCTCCACAGCAGCCTACGCCTCTTCCCACGGGCCCTTTTCCACATAACCTGTAACCGGCCCAAGAAAAACCCACCAAAGTCAACCCATTCCAGCCTTCATCTTCTTCTCCGGACCCAACCCGAGGCCGTAAATCACCATCTTCAACCCCCTTACCATACCAGCCACCATCTCTGACAGTCACCGTCGATCGACCACCATTCTCTACGGGCTTCCTACTTGCCCAATCTCCACCTCTTCACGCTGTTTCTCTCACCACAGACTCGGCCACAATAATAGCAAAGTCTGGAGTCCACTCTCGGTCACCACCAACGACAACCACCTCTCTGCCCCACCAGTAGCAACGACAAGCCCTACACCAGCAGCAAACGGCAGCCCATTATCATCTTTATAGGTTAATGCTCATGTTAAAAATGATTTAGATAATAAGTTTCCTTTTAGACTAATATCAAAATTTTGCAAAAACAAGCTTTTTTCAGAGGAAAAATATTAATTTTTTTAATGAATAACTAAAATAACAATTTTCCTTTGAAAAAGGCAGTTCCATTATATGTCTTGGGATTGACTAGGTTTCAAAGCTAGGACTTCGTTCGAAGAAGGAATTGAACTCCAACTTTCTATTCTATCCCAGACCTATTAACCACTGTCAAGATTCAATTTTTTTTTTTTTTACCAATAATCAAATCGACAAATTTTGAATTTTCAGGGATTGAAGTCAAGTTTTTTTCTCTGATAAAGAGAAAAAAATTAAAAATAAACTAAACAAAATTAGGATAAGTAAGAGCAATAAAAAAGATAATTTTAGAAATCAAATAGTAAAGGTAATATTTTTATAAGAAATGATAAATTAAGGGTGATGTCGTTTTATTTTTAAATATAACTCATTTTTTACTTGAATTTTTGAAATTAATGCTAATTTTTAAAATTCTTAACTCTCTCTAATTATTAGATTATTAGATGATAGACTTCAAATTTTCCTTAATATGTAATCATCCATTTTAATTTAGGGAGGGGGGTTAATGTCCTTCAAGGTGTGACGAAACTAATAAATTGTTCATATTATAACTTAACTTGTTGTTATATATTTATTTATTGAGTTATGAAAAATTCATAATAAAATTTTTCAGAAAGATTTACATACTGGGTTTGTTTGGGATTCAAGAAAGAAAATTGAATTTTGTTGTCATTTGATAAAATCAAGTTTGA